AAACTATGGGAAGGATGGGTACTGAAGAATAAAACAGGAAATTGAATGTATTTGTATGTTAATAAAATAATGTATGAAAATAACTAAAATGTTCATTAAAATAATAATTTATGTAGACAAATATTTCATAAGCGAAATGATTGATACTGATAATAAACTAAAAGTATTGTTACTTGAGTCCAGCAATGCTAAAAACTAGAACCAAGAACTGAGCCAATTTTCAAATCATTGAAAATGAAATCTTTTAATTACATAGAAAATTTCAAAAGAAGTCTTGGAATTTATTAAAGATTTGAAGAAAGTCAGTATGTTTGAAAGAGATAAACCAAATACGTATACACACATTCTGAAATTAAATTTGTTGAAATAGTTTTACTACAATATATAGGTTTTGATAAAAAAAAAAGTTTATAATATTTGAAATAAACATAAAAATAAGATTTTAAATGAAATAAGTGTTGGAATAATACGTCACTGGATATTCGAAGCTTTTAAAGCTATGATATTACACAATAACCACCAGCATTATTCGGAGTGTAACTATCAGTAAGTTCCCAAAGTCGACGAATTAATTTTTTTGATTCATCCATACCACTATCAATATAAACAGCGCCAATTATTGATTCGACAAAATCATGATGTCCAGCATATATATCTCTTTGTACGCCCTGCCCAAATACAATATGATCCTTGAGTTTAAGCTTTTCAGCAATTTGTGCTTGTTTCGTTGAATCCGTAAGCTTTTCTCGTTTTTTTGATAATTCTCCTTCGTCAGCACCAGGATAATTATGAAAAAGATATTCACTGACGACTAAATTCAATACACTGTCACCAAGAAATTCAAGCCGTTGGTATGTAGGCAGACTATTATCATTCACCCGATTACTATCGTGTGTAAGAGCTTCCTCAAGAAGCCGGATGTTCTTGAAAGTATAGCCACAAGTAACTTGAAATCTCCTGAGTAGTTCAGCTCGATTCATTTTTTTTATCAATGTAAATAAATTCAAATATTCTGAAAAGAAAATAATGATCGGTCATTAGATAAACGTAACTATCTGGGCTGTCACAAGCTACAGTCAAAAATTTAGAAAATTCAGAAAGATTTTTTGTGTCATTCTTATTTCAAATCTTTGGACAGCATATTTCACTGTGAAAAAAACAAAACATAGTTAATTGGTCTTTAGGAAAACCAATAGAAGGAAGTATTGAACCTCCATAGGATTATTAAAACTTTCTATATCAGTATGTATATACATATATGCATAGTTTCAGTTAAAAATTAATCTAAATGATTCACGATAACGACTCTATTGTTATGAATTCTATATATACTCATAAAACTTAATTTTCAATATATTGATAAAAATTACGATGGTATTTTATGGTTTCACTGAATCTCTTCCCTTTTTTTGATATAAATTTTATCACATATAATTATATATTCATACCGTAAGCTTCTACAAAAATATCATTGATAGTAATATTTCTATATATTCTCAATTACTTTTATATAGTACTTTCTAGCTATCATTTATGTTCCTACATGTCTGGTTATCTTAATGAGATATTTTCAAAATAAAAAATGTTACCTGTGAAGTAATTTGACGATGAAAATGATTATTGTAAATAATACTTGTCATATTTATAGTACAAGTGAACTGGGAAAAAACCCAAGTTGACTCTATTTACTATTCTATGCTTATCATTCGCTCTCCTATATATTTTTATTTTTATGACTCTTCTAGCGAAACAAGAACAAGAACAAGAACAAGAACAAGAACAAGAATAAGACAAAAAAATATGCTTTCTCTTTTCTTTCGCTAGACAATCATTCAAAATAGTCCTTTCATTTAGTCAATAATATATTTTGTACTATTAGTAACTTAAACTAAAAATAATCATTCAAGTTTGTGAAGGATGGATCATGTCTCATCTTGAGGGTGTGGTTGTCTATGAAGGTAATACATTCTTCTCACACCCATCATATTTAATTCTCTAAAGCAATAAAATATCAATACACTGTGCACTCTGTTTACCACTTATTTTTATGAATTGCACAGGTGAATATTTTGTACACAAAATATTATTATCAAAGGATGACACTGCATGACAGTTAAACATTAGCATTCTCTTTCATTTGTATTCTACTTCCTTCACTTATGAGTAAGCGTGTTTATTCATATATTCTTCCTTTTTACTAATTTTCTAATCCTATTTTTTCACGTTTTTTTTTAATTATTTTTAACAATAAAATATTCGATTTCATTTCATAAACTTATACGTACAACACATTCCTTTTCAAATATTTGGTAGCCTTGCTGTGTTCGAATATCATCAATATTTTCGAAATTAATCTCACTTATGAATCACTATTGCTTGTTCGATCGATTACCTGTCGAATTATTACATGATTTATTTACATATTTTTGGGCACATGAAATTCTACTTAGTTTTTCTGATATAAGTAATCGTGTCAATGCTGTTTTATTAGCTTATGTTGATTATCAACTCAATTTTCGATCTATTCAAAAGGATCATTTTGATCTGAGTTGTAAACGTATTCGACCAGAACAAGTCATTTCATTGATACTTTCTGATGAAAGTGATACACCTGCTCAATCACAATTATTCTTTTCTCGTTTTCATATTGAGCAGTTTACTCAGTTACAAACGTTAACATTGATTGAAATTGAATCACACTCATTAAAATGGATTTTTCCAAATTTATCCAAATTAAAATTATTACGTTCATTAACATTTCTTGTTACAATGACTAGAAAAGAGTATCAAAATCAAATATATAATGTTCGATCATTAGTACATAAAAGTTTTACAAAAAATATCCCTCGTCTTCATCGAATTCATATGATAGATGGAATGTTTTTATCATCTATGCCATTTGCATATCTTCGTCATTTACATCTTGAAAAATGTTCAATCGATGATTTACAAATTTTATTTCGACATTCAACTCAACTCAGATCACTTTCTCTTTGTTTGAATATGTATTCATCGACTTCTGATCTTATTCTATTTCCTATTCAATTGATTCGACTTCATTTAAAAACTGAAAGTAAATTCGTAAATAAATGAAAAATATTCTTTTTTTTCTTTATGTCCTTTTTATCTGTAGGGAAAGACATATCGATGAATGAAATGGAATATTTTTTATCTGATCTTCCTTATCTACAACATTTATGCTTAGAGCTTCATGGTTCACAAGATCTTTTCGATGGTTATCGATGGCAAAACTTGACTTGTAATTTCATTACATTTAATTTCAAATTCAAAACACAACACCATCTGAACAGAAATGTTATCGAATCATATTTGACTCCATTTTGGCTTGAAGAAAAACATTGGTATGTTGGATATAATTCTTATTGTATATTCTCCATACCTTATTTTGCTCCTGATGAACTTGATATGTCACAACATACAATTTTTCTTTCATCAGCACCAGATTTAACATTATTGAATAGATGTGTGAATAAAATATCATTAGGAGAAAATGAATTCAAATTTGATGGTTATCTCCCTAATATTAATACATTAAAAATTCGATTACCTGTCTCACTATCATTTCTTACATCTATTATTGATCTTGATCAAATAAAACATTTATCTCTCTTATCATTAGATGATATACTAAGATATTTGCCTTTAGAAGATACAATGCCACAACTTCATGAATTATCCATTTGTAATCGGGTGGATATAAATACAATCAATCGAATACCAAATCATCGATTTGCACAGATTGATAAATTAAAAATATTTCTATACGGTCAACATAGTGAATATATAACTGAAAAATTAATTCAGCTTTTTCCAAATGTCAATCATTTAAACTGTACACTTAAGTGTGTTCCCGAACAAATTATGTATCATTGTATCAATGGATTTAAATATTTATCATATGCATCGTTCTATCTTCCTGTAGGGGTATTTTTAGGGTTAAATAAATATAATTGGAATGAAAATATCGAGTCTATCATTGCAGACTCATCTATGAAAAGAGATAATTTTATATGTCAAGTTAATCAATCAGGGATCGATGATGTATGGCTTGAAGTTCATTGGTGGTTTGGAAAACAAGTAAATCAATTTCATTAAATTGAACTATTGTTCATTATTGATTGTTTTTTTCTTTAGTTCTCATCATCTTTTTTAAGTCGATATTGTTCAAGAAAATATGCATATTATTGGTATCGATTTCTATACTATCGGCGTCGATTTCGATATTATTGGATTACTTTTATAAATGAACCACTACGACGATATATTTCTTCCAATATTTCAAACCTTTTCATCCTATTCATAATAAGTTTTGTTCTTATTAGAATGTTATTCAAAGATAAAGACTATCAAGGTTTTAGAATACGTTTAAGTTTAATTCTTGCTCTTTTTCTCACTATTTTTCTTGTTATTTATTTTGATCTTGGATGTACAATAATTTCTTTTGTACTTCTTTTACTTCCTTTGTTTATTTCAAAAATATTTTTTTAAAATGCTCTGTCATAAACTATTCCATTTTTAATCTAATTAACTGTTAAAACATTTTTTTCGAAATTCTCTACAACATTCCTTGCTAAACTATATCGTCCAACGACAATAGTTTTTTCATTTGATTCAAAATCAACTCCAATTCTCAGTTAATTGAAATCATCACTATTCATAGTAAAATCAGGATTATTAAAATCATAATTTTTTATTTCATCAATGAATTTTCTTCATATTCATTTCGTTCTTTCGAAGAACTATGTTCAAAACAACCATTATTTACTAAAAATTCCGCATATTCTTGAGCTTGTTTACTCATATTAACATCAAGTACAAGAGGAAATGTTTCATGACGAGATCGCAATCTATTATGTAATTTTGATACTTCAATTTCACAAGTTTTTTTGTACATGATCCATTAAAATTTCCATTTAATTTCCAAATAAGTACACCATCTTTATTACTTGAATATCTAAATGAATTTCAGATTTATTCCGCGATCAATCACATTTTGTCATGGTCTCAAAATATGATTGTAGAAAATGGGATAAACAAAAGAATATTAATTTATTTAGCATTTTTATTTATTCAATTATTATTGAATAAGATTAAAATGATCAGTGCTAGTTTTTTTCTGTAGCTTCAGCGACTTTAATGCCAACTGTTTTAACTTCATAATAAGCTTCAAGACCATATTTTCATAATTCTCCTCCATGACCTGATTCTTTAAAACCACTAAATGATGCTTGATTCCAGAATGAATTATAATCATTAACCCAAACTGTGCTTGCATTTATTTGTTTAATATCAATGTCAAAGCTCGTGTTACTAAAAGGGTATGTGTAACGATTTCTAGACTGGGGTGTGATAGTAACTATGTATATTGTATTTAAGAAATCACGCACCTTACTAAATATTGCTCATCCCTTATATAGTACTCGGAACATTCAGTATCCTGTTACAGAAAACTGCTACATCAATAAGATAATGCCATATCATGCACAGGCCATCGTTTGGATTGGCACAATCCATCATGGCTCTTTTACAACAACCGTCATACAATATAACTTCGAAATAACACTTCAACTCATATATTATTTGGTGAACGACAATTTATTAAGAAATGTGAATGATTAAATAGTTTGATTACATATAAAAAAAATTATGATTCAGTTCAAAAAAGAAAATGTCATTCTGTCTATATCGATTAATAAAGCTCAGCACTATTGAAATAAGTAGCACCCATCAATCCACCACCGACTAATACTTTTCCATTTACTAATGTGGATGATATGTGAGAATCTCGTACAGTACTCATGTTTGCTGTAATTGTCCAAGTGCCTGTTGATGGATCGTACAATTCAGCACTATTTAGATAACCAACACCACTGTTATATCCACCAGTGACTAATACTAATCCATTTGCTAATACGGATGCTGCGTGACTATTTCGTACGACATTGATGTTTCCTGTGATTGTCCACGTGCCTGTTGATGGATTATACAATTCAGCAGTATTAAGATAAGTACCGTTGACTCCACCAGCAACTAATACTAATCCATTTAGTAATACGGATGCTGTGTGACCTTGTCGTCCAATATTCATGCTTCCTGTGGTTGTCCAAGTGTTTGTTGATGGATTGTACAATTGAGCACTAGTGGGATAACTAGCACCGCTGTATCCACCAGCAACTAATACTAATCCATTTGCTAATGTGGATGCTGTGTGACCTTGTCGTGCGACATTCATACCTCCTGTGGTTGTCCAGGTGCCTGTTGATGGATTATACAATTCAGCACTACTCAACACACTAGGATCACTAATTCCACCAGTAACTAATACTTTTCCATTTGCTAATGTGGATGCTGTATGACCATATCGTACGACACTTAGGCTTCCTGTGGTTGTCCAATTGCCGGTTGATGGATTGTACAATTCAGCACTACTGAGCCAACCAACAGCGCTGTTATATCCACCAGTAACTAATACTGATCCATTTGCTAATGTAGATGTTGTGTGATATGCTCGTGCGGCGCTCATGTTTCCTGTGATTGTCCATTCTAGATAAAGTAGAAAAGTAGGTAAAAATGTTGTTCTTTAAATGACTTTGTATCTCTCTTGCACGTAAGCTGTCTATCGATCGATCAAAGATTAAATGATTTCAAATCTTCAATAAACTTCTCTTTGCTGTCATGGTTAAGATAAGATTTATTATAAAATACTAAATCAAATCAATGTAAAATATGTTATAAATGACTTTATTAATATTTTTCGAGTTCATTCGATATCACGAACTGATGAAATCTAAACACTGTCCTACAATTCAGTTCTGATGAATAGTGATCGAATTTCTGAATTTGATTGAAAGTCATTCTACATTATTCTACATAGTGGAAACAAGATGTACTTTGATCATGTTGGATGGGTGGTGTATGTATATGTCAGAACGTAAGTAAGAATGAATGTCAGTGAGGATGTGACTGTGTGTAAGAAAATATAATTCTCACATCATTCTCATGAGAAAATCAGTACACTAAGGGATAATTGATGATGATGAAAGTCGTCTTTCTTGGGTTTGAAGTTTTCAGTTTATGTTACTACGATATTTTTTTGAGATACTTAACTCTATATGAATGCAACCTAAAACATGAGACTAGGTGCTGATAGACATGTCTCATGTCGATATTATGTCAACTAGTACTTCAACCTGTCGAACTATTGAAATCATCTCGAAAGCGGATGAATGTGAATGATAACTAAAATGATCAATGAGTTCTATCGCATGACAATGCTTTTATCAACAATATTCTCGATTGATACTGTTGGGCAGGACGAGAGCATTCATTACTTAAATGAATGTAGATCAAATCAAGTCATCAAAAAATGGCTCTATTTCTACTTCTGATAGGAAATGTTTCTTAATGTTGTCTATCTGGATGGTGATCATTCAATAGCTAAAATCAAAACTTTCAAATACCGTCACTTCGATTAATTATCATTTGAGTCACTACAAACGCTTTTATACAGTACTTACGCGATATTGCTATTGTTGTTGTTGATGATGATGATGACGATGTTGTTGATGATGATGTTGATGATGATGATGTTGATGTTGATGATGATGTTGTTGTTGACGATGATGTTGTTGTTGATGATGATGATGATGATGATGTTGTTGTTGTTGTTGTTGTTGTTGTTGTTGTTGTTGTTGTTGTTG